AAAAAAAAAAGAAACAATAAATTTGTGAAGAAATGACAAGGCAAAGGGCTCTAGGCTCTGGATGGTAAGTTGTGGAGAAGTGACTAGATTGGGGGGGCGGGACTAGTTGAAGATAGCGTCCTTTTAGTGAATTTGCTTGTACAGATCCATTTTGACATCAGTTCCCAGAACCTACTTAATGATAAGGACATTCTTCTCTTGCTGGTACAGGGAAGGCACCTTCCTCACAGGGCAATTCATGGCCTGTTTTTAGGTAGAAAGGGGAGGTCTAAGAGCCTTTCCTGTATCTGCTATTTCTCAGGTGCCCTCAGCTCAGAATAATCAGTATTTGCAGTGGCATGTCCTGAATTCCTTCATCTTCAAATGCATGTTTTCCAAGTGGTCACCTGAAGAAATTGTTCATTTAATACTCTCAAGTCTGCTCCAACACCTACCAGCCAGTTTAGAGCAGAGGAGTTTGGCAGTGAAGGATGAAGACTCTGGAACCAGATTCCTGGGTTCAAATCCCAGTTCAATCACTTAATGGCTACGTGGCCTTAGGAAAGTTTCCTTATTTGTAAAATGGGAATAAAAGTAGTAGTACCAACCTCAGAGTTTGTCTGAAAATTAAATGAGTTAACACCTGTTTCTGGCACATGGCATTCAGGAATGGTATTGCTATTTCAAAATATCAATAAGTATCACTGGGGTGCCTGAGTGGCTCAGTAAATTAAGCATCTGCTTTCGGCTCAGGTCATGATCCCAGGGTCCTGGGATCAAGCCCCATGCCAGGCTCCCCACTCAGCAGGGAGCCTGCTTCTCCCTCTCCGTCCGCCTTTCCACCCTCCCGCTCATGTTCACTCTCTCTTGCTCTCTCTCTCTCTCATGCTGTCGGTCACTCTCTCTCAAATAAATAAGATCTTTTTAAAAAAAAATAGCTATTGTTATACTGATTAGCCCATCCATTTCTCAGAAGCCGAGTGTGTATTACGGCTGTGGCCGTGGTGACACAAACGTGAACAAGTCATTTTCTGCCACCCAGGGGCTCCTCCTGGTCGCTGGGGGGAAACGGGCCAGGGGCCAGAAAGACCATGGCAAGTCTGGGGCAATGGGGCAGCACGTGGTGCTGGGGGGTGGGCAGAGGAGAAATGGGGAGGAGTAGGGAAAGCTCAGGAGAGACTCCTAGTTCTTGAAAGATGTGGAGGAGTTAGCTAGACCAATGGGAGAAGGGAGGGCTGGCCAGACAGAAAGAGTAATAGGGAGAAATCGGAGGAGGTTTAAGAAAACACTCATTTAGGGACACCTGAATGGCTCAGTCGGTTAAGCGTCTGCCTGATCCTGGAGTTCTGGGATTGAGCCCCATGGCAGGCTCCCTGCTCAGCGGGGCGTCTGCTTCTCCCTCCCTCTTCCCCCTGCTCCTTCTCTCTCTCACTCACTCTCTCAAATAAATAAATACAATCTTTGAGGGAAAAAAAAACATTCGTTTATTAAAAAAATATGTGAGTGCTTCCTGTTCTGGATACTCACATATTTAAAAAATTGTTCGAAAACAGTGAATGCCCCTCGTTCTAGGTGCTGGGGAGACTGCTGTGAATAAGACAAAGTTGCGTTCCCACGGTGATTAGCTAACAGAGCCCACTCACCCCCCACACTCGCCTGCATGTATTATGCTCCTTAACTACTAGGTACACTCACTACCCTAACCTCCATTTTCCATTCGGGCTAAACGGAGCGCAGACCCATCTGGGGACTTGGCAGATTGGTAAAGTCGTAAGGAGCAGAGCTGGGATTCACACCAGGCAGTCTGGCCGCCGCTGCCTGCTCTCAGCCACTCTGCTCTGTCGCCCTGGAGGAGCTTGCTGACATTCTCACGACCTACTCCGGGAGCTACAAGCGGGTTAGCTCGGCTGGAGTAAGGCGTCAAGCATGGTAGGCGGATGAAGGCCAGCCAGTGACGGGCCTTGGCCGCCAGGCTGACGGGCTGGGCCTTGATCCTGCATGCCGGCTAGAGGATGGCTTGGGAAGGGCAAGGGGGACCCTCCCGGCGCCTCCGGTAAGCTGTAGCGAGAATCCAGGCCAGAGATGACAATGGACCGGGACGCGGCGGCGGCCGAGGGATGCAGGGAAGGGGTGGCTCGCCGAGGCGGAGGAGGCAGCCTTGCGGCGCCAGGTCGCGGGCGGCAGCCGGCCAATGGAGTGGGGCCGGGTGTCAGCCCCTCCCGCGGGGCGGGGGCCGGGCGGGGCGCGCTGCGGGCTCGCGGGGTACCAGCGCTGCCGCATCCCCGCGCGCTCCCCGCACCCGCGCCGCTCCGGCTCTGGTTCCCGCAGCCCGCGGCGGCGTCCCGGCGAGGTCTGGCAGGTCCAGCCCGCGCACAGCTCGGTCCAGTCGGGTGGGTGAGGGACGGCGGCGGGGAATTGGGCGGGGGGGAGGCTGCTCTGCTCGGTCTCGCCTGGGCGGGTGAGGGGCCAGGCGCTCGACTGGATTGCGACCCCGCGGGGAGAGTGCCGACGGGCGCTCGGATCGCCCAGGAGTGGGCTGCACGGGGCTGGGGTGGATGTGGGGTCGCGGCTCCGGAGCTGCGCTCGGACCTGGTCGTGGAGGGGCCGGGCTCGAACCCGGGACGGCGCGGGGGTGAGCGGGGGCGCCGCGGGCGTTGGGGACTCGGCTCCGTTGCTGCTCCGGGGGGGGGCATCCCTGGGGGCGTGGGGGGGGGAAAGAGCTCAGCCCGGGCCCGAGGAGGGGGTGGGGGAACGGAGGGGAGGGGGCGCGCGTCCGGAGGGCCCTCGGGTTTGTCCCCTCCAGGGTGGGTGCGGGGAAGAGGGGCGCCGGGGGCGGGCCGGGGCGCGGGGGCGGGGCCGCCGAGGGGTGGTCGGCGCGCCTCTGACCCGGTTCCGGGACGCAGGCGGCGGCAGCTGCGGCGGGCGCAGAGCGGAGATGCGGCGGCTCGGGGGCACCCTGCTGTGCCTGCTGCTGGCGGCGGCTGTCCCCACGGCCCCCGCGCCGGCCCCCACAGCGACCGCGGCTCCCCTCGAGCCCGGCCCGGCTCTCAGCTACCCGCAGGAGGAGGCCACCCTCAACGAGATGTTCCGCGAGGTTGAGGAGCTGATGGAGGACACGCAGCACAAACTGCGCAGCGCGGTGGAGGAGGTGGGTGCGTCTGGCGGGTTGGGGTTCGGGGGGAGCGCCTGGCTGGGGGCGGCGGGGGCCGGGGGAAGCAGCGCTGGGAGCGCTGGCCGGGATGCTCCGTTCCGCGAAGGGGCCGGGAAGAGCCGGCGGCAGATTCGGAGTGATCGGGCGGCCGCCGGGTGAGCTCAGCTCCCACCTCATTCTGACTTCCTGCCAAAAAGCTCTGGATCTGAGCCTGTTCACCGGGAGTCTCCGGCTGGACGCACCCAGGGGCAGCCGGGGTCACCACCTGTTTACGGGCTGCTGGCCGCTACCCCGCAATTGTCTTCAAGTGTGCAATTGTCTCCCGCCCCCCTGTGTAAGCGGGCGCTTGCATGGCCCCTGGTATTCCAGCGCTGTGGTTTCGCAGAGAGGCTGAGGAAGCTCCAGGGATCTCAAGTTCTAGCTTGTACGTTGGGCTTTGAGCTTGTGCCATCTTCCCAAGACATAGTTAGGATGCCGTGTGAGGACAAAAAGCCCTGATAGCCTTGCCGCTTGTCTGTCTGGGCTTCCCCAAATGCCACGAGGCAGAGAAGGAAAATCAGAATCCTAAACCCCAGCAGTGTAAATGTTCAGATGGGGATGGGGGAGGGACACTGAAAGGCCACCCACCTCCACCCCAGTAGTGCTTTGGAGTCAGTCCTAGGCTCAAGGTCCTCCTCTGCCATTCGCTAGCAGGGCGACGTTGGGCAAGTCCCTTAACATCCTCTCCTCAGTTTCCTGTTAGAATTAAAGGCCATGGTATGTGTGGGCACCTGTCATAGAATAGGTGGGCAATATACAACAGCTGTTACTATCAGATACCAGATACCTTAGCAAAGCTTGGTCTGGCTTCTTCCTTCGGTCACCTCCCAGGACCAGACACTATGGATGGCATCCCCTAGAGTGAGCACCTGGGTGTTGGCAGGGCTGTCTGGGCAGGAGGTACAGCTGGCCCAGCTCGCCCAGCCCAGGTGTCAGGAGCTGTCCCTGGTGCCTGGGGTCATTGGGCATGGTCACTGTTGGGCCTGGCTCTGGCTACAGCCTGTTTTTGGAGAGAAGCCAGCCATCCCAGTGAAGGAGTCAGCAAGAGACCAGATGTCCATGCTGGTGGGTGAGGCGTCTTCCCACCCCTGCTTCTCCACATTCCACTGGGACAGAGCCTTAAATGCTAGCTCTGGTCTACATTCTCCCCACAACCCTGCCTCCCAGAGCAGTCAGCCTGGTGGAGCATGCAGTGGAGGGGACTGGATTGGGAGGCAGGTGTGTGGGAAGCTGTCCTGAGCATCCACTGGACAGGCCAGATTCCAAAACCCATGAACAGACGTTCTGTTTCCTGCAAAAGCAAAAGAATCATGACATGGAATAATTAAAAGGAGAGGGGAGTCAGGTGGGCCCCCATATCTCTTAACTCTGCTCCTTCCTATTAACTGGAGCTCGTGATCCTTCTGGTGCCAGGGCGGGTCATCTGCTTTCCTTATCTGGGTTCCAGGATTTTCCCTCCTGCTCATGGATTCCCAGTGAGACTGATGAGGTCAACTCCATGTTTCTGTTCTGTGTGAACTTGTTTGTGCAGCACGGTCTTCTTCTGGGAGCTGTTGCTGGGGACAGGGGGGAGCAGCAGGGGCTTCTCTGGACTCTTCATTGATCAGAGCAGTTTGAGAACAGCGGAACCTGAGTGGCATAGCTCCTCCGTGGAAGTTATCCCCATTGGCTCTGCCAGGGCCCAGCTTCCTCCTTCCAGATGCTACTCTGCTTGGGTTGTGAAGACAGGCTGGTTGAAGTTTGCCACCAGGAAGGTTGCTGGCTGCTACCTCTGTCCCGGTCAGTGGGACCCCTGCCCCACAGAGTGTTCTCGATGGCGGTGGGGACGGGTTGAAAGAGGCTGAACCCTTGCGTGGCGGAACAGGCTGTGGGGATCAAATCTTCCTTCATCAGATGCTGGCTCTGCCACTTACTGGTGGTGGGATCCAGGAAATGTCTCCCCCCTCCCCCTGCCCCCTTTAGGATAAGGGGGGATTTAAATGAGATGATGCAAGTAAAGCAAGTTTTCTGACCATCTAAAATGGGGTTAAGTAAGGTTGTGTGATGTAAGTCCCTCCCCTCCCCAGGCTGTTGTCAGGGGTATGGGAGATTGTTGGTTCTCAATAAATAATGGCTGCCATTATCATCCTATTAATAGTACCAGCATGATGCCAACAAAGAACCAGCGGTCTGATATATAAAGAGTCTCAAGAGATTGTGGCTATTAGTATGAATTTTTTTTAAAAAGAGACTGCCGGAAAGCCCCTTACATCTCATCAACACGGGAGAGTTGCTATTTACTTGTCGTCCAGTGAAAGGACCAGGCCAGATGCATTCATTGTTTACATGGTTGCGCCATGAATCTTCTTTCAAGTAACTTCCTGACATTTTAAATATTCCAGCTGACTCAAGCTGTTGATTGCTCTTCAGGGAAAGATGAAGTTAACTCTACTTGTAGGATCATTATTTGGGGAAGCACATGTTCAAATGGTTCAATCTAGGCTGTTCCTACTTTCCCGTCTAAATATTCTATACGTTACTGGTAAATGTGTTTTGAGGGTAAAACCACTGTCTTCCCCTCCTTCCCCCCTGCTCCTTGTGATATCTGTAACTGACATATTCTAGAATATTCTTAGTCACCTCACCCAGTCCTAGGAAGAACCCCAATACGATTTATCTCCAATTTTTCCTACTCTACCCCTTTAACAGACACACACAGTCAACCAACTATAAATGCCATATTTTATAACATGCACATTCCTCCTCTATGTAACAACTTCTCTTGCTTTGGGCTTAAGTTTCTCTTGTTAGTGGCAGTAATAGTTGTGGTTGAAATTCCATTGTAAACTGTACTTTTGGGTTCGTGGTGCCATTAGAGAACTATTAGCTCATTCAGTTGAAATAACCACTGGTTGAGAGGGAAGAAGGTTTTATAAAAAGTCTATCTGCTCAGCCCAAAGCAAACTCCAGATTTGGTAACTTGTCAATCATTTGGAAGCCAGACTGGAGGATTCTGATTCCAATGGGAATTTTAAAAACATGTAAGACATTCCCTTCTGCTTCTGGATTTAGCCTCTCTAGCATCTTAGTCTCTTACTGTTTTCCAGCTGTATCTTTTCTATCACAACACACGCCAAGATCTCCTCTCACTTTATTTATTTTTATTTTTTATTATTTATTTATTTTTTTAAGATTTTATTTATTTATTTGACAGAGAGAGACCCAGCGAGAGAGGGAACACAAGCAGGGGGAGTGGGAGAGGGAGAAGCAGGCTTCCCGCCCAGCAGGGAGCCCAAAGTGGGGCTCAATCCCAGGACCCCAGGATCATGACCTGAGCCGAAAGCAGACGCTTAACAACTGAGCCACCCAGGCGCCACAAGATCTCTCACTTAAAAAAAAAATTTTTTTAAGCCCTTTTCATGTTCATACTGTCTCCTATTTTAGCTCCGTTCCACCTTATTCTGTTAGCGAATTCTTCAAACACGTGGTATCTACTGTCTGTTCTTTCCACTTCCACCCGAACATACCCTAGCAAACTAACGTCTTCTAAAACTGCTTTCTTACAGGACAATATTATGAAAGTAGCTGTGTATTACGTCTGTGCCGGGTGCCAGGTACTGAGGCAGGCACTTGGATTTTATGATCCTTAATTATTGCATCTACTCAGCAAAGTAGGACCATCTCCACTATACAAATGAGAAAGCTGAGGTTGAGAGACACTTGGTGTCTTGCCAAGGTCACACAGCTGCTTCTGGGCTGAGCTGAGACTTGGCCCCACCTTCCCTAACTCCAAAACCCTGGCTCTTCCTTCTGACATGCTGCGGGCAACATTTTGCCTGACCTCATGGCTAGCTCTCCCGGGCTTGGCCCACCTTGACTTACTTGTAACCTCTGCTACGTAGCAGAGGTTCCTCCCCCAGGTGTAACTTCCTACTCCCACACCTCATTTTGGCCAGTTCCCTCACTCCCCTCTTTATCTTCTCCAGATTCTTTATTATTTACCAACTAGTCTTTAGAACTTGTTACCACTCCCCATCGCCTGGAGCAGAGGTTTTTTCCTGGGGGCAAGTGGAGGGGAGGAAATACCTCTGAATCATTTGAGAAGCTCTTTGATACCTGGGATTGCACCTGCAGAAGTTCTAATTCAGCAGGTCTGGGAAGGGATCTGGGTGTGTGTGTGTAAATATACAGGCCTAACTCTCCTGGTTATATATCTATGATAGATACCTTTTTAAAGTTTCAGGTATGACTCTGATGCACTCTCCCAGTTGAGAACCAGGCCAACACCCTCCGCTTTAGAACTGCCCCTGGATCTGCCTGTCAGTCCCTTTCTCCTTCATCATCCACCATTTTATCCCGTGCCCAGCGTGGACCCTGTCCCCCAGCCTACAACACACACTGTTCTTGTCCAGGCAGCCACAGTTTTGCCTCCTCTGTGCTTTCTGTTCAGATCCTACCCATCCTTGGAGACCAGCTCAATCGTGCCTCCTCCTCCTCCTGGAGGCCTTTCTTTTCTTTTTTTTTGAACCCCTGGCTTGCTTCTAGAAGCAAGTCATCATCCTCAAACTAGTTTAGCTGTGGGGCTCTGCTATCTCCCCAGGAAATGCATAAGCTACTCAGGCAGGGCAGAAGCACATACTGCACAAGGCCCAAAATTTGGAGTCAGACTGACCTGAGTTCTGTCTGAGTTTTGCCACCTACTAACAATGTGATGATGATAGGCGGGTCCCTTCACTTCTCTTCACCTCATTCTTTTCATCTGCAGAATGAGGGCAGCAACACCTTCCTCATGGAGGTGCTGTGAGTATCCAGGGAGCCATGGAAGGTATGGTGTAATCGCTCAGGCATAGCTGATGCCCAAACATGGAGGCCATCATTGTGGTGGTGATGATGATGATGATGGTGATGATGGTGATGGTGATGATGATGATGGTGATGATGATTGTGATGATGGTGATGATGATGATGGTGATGATGATGATGGTGATGATGGTGATGATGGTGATGGTGATGATGATGATGATGGTGATGATGGTGATGATGGTGATGATGATGGTGATGATGGTGATGTTGATGATGGTGATGATGATGATGGTGATGGTGGTGATGATGGTGATGGTGATGATGATGGTGATGATGATGGTGATGATGGTGATGGTGATGATGATGGTGATGATGGTGATGATGATGATGGTGATGATGATGGTGATGATGGTGATGATGATGGTGATGATGGTGATGATGATGGTGATGATGGTGATGATGATGATGGTGATGGTAATGATGGTGATGGTGGTGGTGATGGTGATGGTGATGATGGTGATGATGGTAACGGTGATGGTAATGATGATGGTGATAGTGATGGTGATGATGATGGTGATGATGGTGATGATGATGATGATGATGATGGTGATGGTGAAGCCAGTGACTGAGTTTCAGACATCTTGGCAATCCTCTCAGGGTCAAACACAGCAGTTTCTGACAAAGTCGTTATTTGATTGTTTGAGCTTTTGTGTCTTCCAGACTCCCTGCTTGGAGTTCAGTGTTTTTGTGCTGCACTGAGACATGGCAATTCTTTCCCCATGTCCACCCCAGCTCAGCAAACCTGGTTGGGAGAGACAGGAAAAGAGGTGCCTCATTTGGTACATAAGGGAGTAGAAGACAGTGATTTTTTAAAAAAATAGGAGAATCTTTAGTTTTAAGAAGTAAAAATAGCTCAGAATCAAAGATAGTGTTGGAAAACTGCCAGCCACCAACTAGAACTTCTCTTTGTGTCTCTTGTTTTAAATTCCTAGAGAGAGAGTATCTGGCTCAGCCAGTCCATGATGTGGCCTCTTTTTGAGTCCAACCAGCTGTGAGCTGGTCCCATTATCAACTGCCCACTCGGGGTGGGGCGCAGCGGTAAATCTGTAAGGGGAAATTGGGTATAGATTCAGGTTGACTGATATATCTGGTGTAGATGTCATGGAGGCTCATGAACGTGGAGGATCTGAGAACAGCCTCAGAAACCTGACACCAGAGAGGAACACATGTGGAAGCAGAGCAAGAAGGAGGGTAGACGCTGGGAACTAGTCAGCTGACCTTCTACAGTGGTCCCTCTTGTACCCAAGAGGTGGGGTGGGGAAGGAGACATAGCTGTGGCCCTAACTCAGGGAAGGGGCTGTCCTGGGCGCTGCTTGGGTCTGCCCACCACCAGGCCCTACAGCAAAGGTCTGGGAGCAAATAATTTATTTGGGAAATGGTCCCAGAAACACTAGGAGGAAATGGGAAAGTAAGATGGACGACAAGAGAGGGAATAAAAGCTGTGCTAATGAGCAGGTTCCTGCTAGGCGCCACTGGGGTTCCGTCCACTGGGGTTCCTCAGAGAGAGACTGCCGCTTTGAAGGGAGAGGGGGCTGGGGTACTTTCCCCCATAGCCTGTCCCTCACTGATTGAGGACGGTTCCTGGGGTGTTAAATCCCTAGCATCTGTGCAGATTGAGCACACTGAACGGCCAGAGAGTGCTCTCAGAGAGACACAGGACTGGTTGTTGGCATGTAAGGCAGTTGAATGCACGTGACCTCCGGGTTAGGTCACGAGGAGATGGACGGGGCACCAGCAGCCCCGTCAGGGGCCAAGATTGTTCAACGGAAGCATGCTCAGATCCCAGCTCGGCCCTTTCCTGACAGTCCTTTTTTTCTTTTTTATGTGTCTTGTGGATAGACTACAGTGAATTTTTTAAAATTGTAATTCCAATAAATTATATTATATTAGTTTCAGGTGTACAACACAGTGATTCAACAGTTCTGTGCATTACTCAGTGCTCACCAGGATAAGGGTACTCTTAGTCCCCATCACCTGTTTCACCCGGCCCCCCCACC